TCTCTAAGGCAGTCCTGTTTCCCTGTCACACAAACTACATTTCATAAAGCCCATAGTGATTCTTACACTGTCAAAAATGAAAATCTTTTCCTTGACAACATCTGGCAAAAAAGGGGCCATTAATATTTTACAAGACAGTTATATCCTACAAACTCCACCTTGCTGTTAAAATTTGAAGAGCTTTCTCAACACTGTATTTCTCTGTTGTTACACTCTTAATTAAATTGATTGATGCAGTTAATGTCCCTATTCTCGGATAGAACTTCAATACAACAGGCTTGCTGCTACTTGGAATATGTATACCCACTTGAAATAAGAACCACGTAAACCATTAGTCTGTTAAAAGCATAGGAGTGTTGACACCTTAATCAGTGCAGGCTGTTAATTATTTTTGTGATAACCTCTCCTATGAGGATATAAGCAAAGATACTGAGGCAACAAATGATCCGTGTCATGGCAGGTGAATCTAATTCTAAATGCAAAACAGACTATGAAGAGACTTGGGTCTAGATTTTACCAAAGGACTTTACCAAAGGATTCCTGATGTCAAATAGCTTCTGCATGAAAATGTTCATTTATTCAGCTGCTGGGTTTCAAGAGCCCAAACCAGTCCTCATCATCCAACTGCAGTTACTTCTTGCCAGGAATTCCTACTCAATGAACTAGTTAGCCAAATAGTATAGGTTCTGTTCTTAAACTGGCATGCTTGTTAAAGCTAAACTAAAAAATGCCAGTGCCGCCAACTTGGCTGGGAGCAGTCTCTGCATACAGCCTCTGCATAAAAGCCAATTTTCAAAAGCAGCATATTAGTGTGCTTAAGCGTGGGGGGGACTGTGATTATTACATCTAAGTAAAGGTACAGAATAAATTTAGATGGGAGGAATTCACTGGATTTTTTTGTTTAGGGAATAGAAACCAAGTATCTCTAGGAAAGCCAAGAGATTCTTAATGAAGATGAGACTAGTTAAGACCTTGGTTCCACATCTCATCCCAATTACTGCATTCAAATTGAGGTTTTCCCTTTTTTCTCCTCTGCCTTTTAGAATAGAATCCATACTGACATTCATGCAGGAAGAACCTGACTGTAGCTTGAATAATGCCAACTGCATCCCTATGGAGCCAGGGTATGAGCTATGTGCTTGCATACTATACTTGAAAAGATATATCTAGAAATTCATTTTGCTCATTTACAAGACATAAAAGCTACTTGTGATGCCAAGTAAACAGAAGACGATTGTCCTTATTTCATTGATATGTATCATATATATCAGTATGCCTGTATTTTTCAAATGCTGTGTATCTTTTTCTCTGCCTAGTAGCAATGTTGCTGTGACAAGTGATATCTAAATGCATAGTTGGGGAAAGATAAAAGTTCCATTATGTGACAAGGAATATTATGTCTAACAGAGAGATTATAATAATCATGAGTAAAAAGAAGATGTTTGATCCTGCTTATGCCAAAAGTTTTTAAAAAAATTTTAAAAATACTTTAAATGAATTTTATCCTCAGGAAAATGATTAAAACAAGAAAAGCCTTGAGATGTCAGCTGGTGACATGTTTTTCCTCTTTATCTTTCTTTTTTGTTGTTGTTGCTGTGAAAAAAAAGCTGAGAGAATACAGCAAAGTACATCATTAACTTCTTATTAATTTCATAATACAAAGGCAATTCTGTTAAAATAGTGGTGCTGCAACTTTAAATTACAGAACTAGCTTGGTATTTAATGAGAGATTTAGCACAGCAGGGTTTCTGTTAAATTAAGTTGTGCCTTCACATCACAGTGGGAAAACAGGTGTATATTGGTTTAGAATTATGGAAATGTTGACTAATTCCAAGGCTTGTAATCAAACAGCAAGGCACCCTGCAATATTTTCTTCCAAGATTCTTCATTAATCATTTATGTCTGGTCTTGTTTTCTTCATGTCCACTAAAAGGGTTGCAGTTCAAAGGAGCAGATAAAGCCTTCGTGTTTTCATGTCTCTGTTAAGCATGAGGTCCACACAGAAAGTAGATACAGAAACAGAGCATGGCAGGCTTTGCTCAAATACCCACCCAAACTAAACAGAACGGGATAGATTTCATGCTACAAAAATGCTTTTTTGGCTTTGTAAGTGCTCATCCCAAACTGACTTACTGAGCAACACGGAGCAAGTCTGCATTTCAGAAATGAAGAGACAAACCAGAAACATCCCACTCACAGTCGTTCAGTGCACACAGTTTTGCAGCAGGATGAGTGATACCTATGCACACGTGAAATGCAGGCAAGCTGCTGCACCCCTGCTTCTGTGTCTGCCATAATTCCGTATCTGAAACTAACAAACCACCCGCCTGTTACTCTGTTTTTCTCCTGGGTTGTTCAGAGATGCTTCTTATCTGATGCATGGCTGTATTTCAGCACAAGTGGAAGGCACAGATTGTTTTGTTTCCAAATACACCTCCTTTCTGAAGCTCCTACACAGCACATCTTGTTTACTGGAAGCAAGCTGATGCCCAAATGAACCTGATCCAAATTCATCCCTTGTAGCCTTGACAGATGATTGCTTCCATTTGCTCTGAAAGAGACTGTTTCACACACAGGCTATCCACTACCAATCCCTGCTAGCTCACGGAAAGCTGCTTAGTGGGCCAGATCTAACAGCATGGAAGTCGCTAAAATTCATAGAAGGAGAATCCTGCTCTACTGAAGTGCTTCAGCACGTATGCCATAACTTTATAGCTTGCATAAACAAGGTTATTTTGGGAATATACTGCTGAATCATAACAGCATTGCAATTTATGTTGAATGTCAGCCTATAGCACATTCAAAATATAGAATCTGTTATATAATATATGGTTAATTTTCTTTAGTGTAATGAGCTGTTTGAGTCTCTTTATTAGAGATGTGCCTTTAAGAATTAGGCGTAACAACTCCTCTTAAAATAAAATCTTAACATCTCAGGCAGCATCAGGATCAGATCAGCCCATACCCAAGAGTCACAGGAATGTAATTTTCACTTTTTCTTAGAAGAAAAGTTTGTAACTTCACATTCAAGATGGAAAAACAGAGCTTGAAAAAGATACATTTTAAAAGACCAAGAGCTAGATTCAGCATTGGAAAAAATGTTATGGTTTTGATCTCTATTAAAAAAAAAAAGAAAAAAAGAAAAAAAAAAAAGGTGCAGCAGCCTCTCTAACTGTGGCATGTTCCTTAGCTACGAAGAGGAGAAAATGCTGCCCTGCCTTAGTAAGAAGCTCTGCAAAGTTGAGCTTGTTTTGCTACTTGTACACGGGGAAGGAAAGGAGGCTACCCCTCTGAGTCAACTGCTGGTTTAACCACGACCTTTCAGAGCAGAGCAGCCAGCTCTGGGGCTCAGGAAGGAGAGGTGCAAGCAAAAGGAGTTTTCTTGCTGCGAAGGAGAGTGATGTACAGATCGACTATGGGGCTCCAGGGCAGGGCTCACACACACAGAGATGCTGCAGCAGCTCAGGACCACTTCCATTGTTGTGCCCATCCCACTCAGCACAGCTGAAAACAACTGAAAGCACATTGGAGAGCAGTTACACAATGAGCTGGGTTAACTGCAACATTAGCTGAATTGGGTTAGAGAGCATTCATCCAAAGGGCTCATCATGTTCTGGCAGCGGGATTGGGAACCAACAACTGGAGCTGCAGAGCCAAGGGATGCTGTGATGTGGCTGGAGCTCCAGAGCTCCCTCAACACTTTCTTTTCTGTCCAGTGATGGCATATCATCCTGTACATCCTCAAAAGCTGAAACTACAAGACTTGACATCAACCCTGGAAAAATTTACTGAAATCTGAAGTGGCACAATTTGTCATTGATTTTCCTGTAGCTAGCTGGTCATTGCAGATTTCCTCCCACTGCTTCCAGCATTTCCATTTTCAAATGAGGGAAGAATTCCATTCTACCTCTGTGAATTAGCATGGCTCATGGGTAACTATCCAACATTTTCATGTTGGTCACTTTCATGACAGATGAGGTAACTTTTCTAACAGGATCTGCATAAAGTGGGCCAGCCAGACATGAAGTTTTCAAACACATATTGTTTGATTTCACATATGGCATCTAGGAACTCAAAAAGATATTGGCGATCAGTCCATAACCATCCATCATAACTGCCAGTCCAAACAATATTCCATTTATTTATACAGTGCTGTATAATTTGTTCTTGTGTCTGTAACCACACAGTCTATTCATATACTGGAACATTTGGATGCATCAAGGGGGAATATATCCCCACTCTTTATATTTTTCCATTCTGGTCCCCTAAGTATTTGGTTGCAAACAGCAGAACAGATGAAAACCTTAGAACAAGAAGACTTCACATTAAAGTCAAGCAATTACCAGTGATATTCTTCTCTTCAAACCTGTAACCCAGATCTGTACTACCATGGAATAACATACGATACAGGTTGTACAATTAGCTCACTAACACAAGCACAACTGCTTTAACCACCAGTGCAGTGTATCAGCAGGAAAAGGGTGCTGAGCAGAGGTGGTGGCAGGAATGGCTCTGTTCAAGCAGCAACATGGTACTGTGCTCTGTGGCTCCCTAATGTGCAGTCACCACACTAATGCACTTGGTTGTTTAGAAACCATGTGTACAATGGCTGCATTTAATGAAGTTGGCTGTATTTCGTCTTTTCCTCTCTCCCTTTTGGAACTAGAACCCTCAGTGGAGCAGTGTTTTTCTGCCATATGTTTCTCCCCCTCCTTCTCCTGTAAAAAAAAAAAAAATTGGATCTACCTTGTACTTCAGTAACTGCCTCCAGTCAGCAGGAATCAGCACTGTTTCCAGCCAAGGGACTTTCTACACAAGAACAACTGTCTTTAGAGATAATGCCATTGCTACAGGACTGGCACTGTTACAGGACAGGACATCAGGTTTGCCACCCTCTCTTGAAGAGACCAAGGTCACGTGGGGCACTTAATAAGCATCTCAAGCAGAAGGGCTATTTTCTGGCAACAAAATAATTAGGATCAAAAAGTAAATGTACTCACCCCAGGTAAAGTTTTAATATTGTGCAGTGCATTCTGTGCCTCAAGAGCAGCTTTTCTTGTATAAAATGTTACGAAACAACAACCTATAGAGAGAAATGAAAAGCTTTCAGAAATTAGTGAGTATGATTTGTGAGAGTACAATAGGGAGGCAGAAAAAACAGTGGTTGAACAACACATTATGAAAGCTGGAAATGTGAATTATCACGAGGCTGCCTGAATGACATGAATAAAAAAAAGCTTGTATGGTTTAAAATAAAGTCACCCCCTGTGCATTGCATCTATAGCACACCTACATTGTTAGTGAACTGTAATCACCTAGAAATTAAGTTAACTAAAATCCAATTGGCTTTGTACAGTGTAAATAAGGTTATATTTTTCTGTAGGCTCCCCATTATGCTTTGAATATGAGCAACAAGGTAAACTCAAACCAGCAGGCATTCGTTGTTACATCCCAAGCAGAAAATCAGGTTAAGGCACGACCTTATTCAGAGGCTTTGCCTTACATGTAAGTAAGGAGCTAAGAATCATGAAGACTAATTCCGGGCACCACACAGGACCACCACAAATCCAAACCCTGTGTCTGAGAGCATTGGCCATAGAATCATAGAATCATAGAATCACCAAGGTTGGAAAAGACCTAAAAGATCATGCAGTCCAACCGTTCACCTATTCCCAATAGCTCCCACTAAACCATGTCCCTCAACACAACATCCAGCCTTTCCTTGAACACCCCCAGGGTCAGTGATTCCACCACCTCCCTGGGCAGTCCATTCCACTGCCTGACCACCCTTTCTGAAAAGTAACACTTCCTAATGTCCAGCCTGAATTTCCCCTGCCATAGCTTGAAACCATTCCCTCTGGTCCTCTGGCCAACACTCCCTGAACTTAGGCTTCCTGCACCCACACTGCAGGTGGAGTGCTGGGCACAATGACGCAGTTTGTGACTTCGACTGACTTCCACTAAGAGGGAAACCAGTCTGAGATCATCTCTGGTGTGCTTCAGTGAATAACACAAGGAAAATTCCCATTTAGCACCCACTCTGCTGCAACCCTGCCTGTAAGGGAAACAGGTTGGGGCCGAGTGTAGCCCTTCTCCTGTGGATGTGGCCAATCTCTATGCTAGCAAGCGAGTCTCAAATTCCTTTGGAGCTCTGCAGCTGCAGTCAGGTGACCCATCTGGCGCTGGGACAGAGAAACCTGCTGGGAGGCAGGAGTGGCTGTTGAAGTAAAAACCTATTTCATATCAAACAGAATGATGCTGATTTTATTGATGAACCAGCAAACAATCCTACTGTATTAATCACTGACAGGGACGTGCTGCAACTCCAGGGAAATGCCACAACCAAACAGAAAGAGCAGTTCTCTACCCTCATCACTAGCCTTCCTGCTCCCTCAGATAACACAGGAGCAATACTTCCTCCTTTCCTTGCACCGACTTCCTGGTGCTTACCAATGTGAAATACCATGTCACTCCTGTTACGCCAGCTTTTTTTCAGCCTCTAAGTACTGCCATAACAGCAAAGGCCACCAAGGAGAATGTGCGTGCAGGAGAACATGGCTAGCAGATATCTGGCTGTGTGCAGGAGCCTCACCCCGCACCTCGGAAGGAAAAACTGAATCCAAATTTCCCCCTCTGCTGCCTCTTGCTTGGCTCAAGCTGTGTATTGCACTGTGAATGCTCCCTTTGGCTTTGCAGCTGGGCCAACGATGACCATTTCCTCCATAACAAGCAAAGGCAATAATGTATTCCCAGCTGGAATGCGGTGAGTTTATCCCTAACAGAAAAGTGCTCGCAAGCAGTATAATACATGGGTAGGCAGGTAATGCTGACTTAACACAGCTGGGAGAAACACTCCCCATAATACCAATAGTTTCTTTAAAAGTTCACAGTTCAGGAAAGAGAAGGCTTGATAATTATTCCACTGATCACTGTTTGGCAGGGATGACTATTACAAACAGACACAGCCTGCAGGGCTTGTGCTTTCTTAGAGTACTTCTTAATCTTCTATTCCACTGGTAAACTTGGCAAATTTCAATCGTTTGACACCAAAATCAAAATGTGAAACAAATCAGAGTTTGTGACATTTAACTGCCCAACTCTGACAAAAGAGCATGATGTATTTCTGACCTGCTAACCAGCTCCAAAGTCTCTGTCTTCTACTACTGTCACTCCATTTGGTTTATTAGTGTTTAATATAAAGCTTTCTAACCAGGAGAGAGGATTTCAAGGAAAATAATATCAAGTAGTGGACATGATCTCGGAATTGCAATGTCCTTACCATGGGTCTGAAGAGTTTCATTTTGGCTTTGAGCTCTCTGGGTTTATCCTGATAAGAAGTTTGAAATCTTTGGATTTATCGTTCTTGGCACTACGTGAAAGAACTGTGCTTGAAAGATGAATACCTGGTGAAATACCCTTCACCAAATCAGTTTTGGGAAGTAATAGTGCAGTACAGAAAAATGTCTCTGAATGAAGACTGGGAACAAACAGCAGCATAGTGGGAAACATGCAGATGCTTCCAGCAGATCATCAGCCTGTGACAAAGATGGTGCCTCTAAGCTCACAGATTGACACATCTGAAAATGCAGATAGATAAAATCGCTACCTGTGCTCATTTTGCTTGTATCATATTACACAACCACAACAAAACAACAGAGTGTTTGCCATGCTTTGGGGAGAGCATGGACATGAATTGTGGACACTCGATTCCGAAGCTTTCTGACAATAAGGTCGAGGTGAAAAAAGTAAATATGAAAACCTAGAACATGAAAGGTGAACATGCACAAAATCCCGAAGGAAATGCTGCAGCTCAGCCTAAGGAGGTGCTTGCTGCCAAAGTACACACACTGTTGCAGCTCCAACAACACAACTTCGAAGATGCCTTAAGTGTAAAACCTCTTTGGTCAGTATCACGTGCCATAAGAGAAAGTACCAAATTCAACTGTTTCTGCAGAAATACCAGAAGGGAAGACTGCTGTGTGAAAAAAACAGGGCTAATGTGTGCTGTCTGACTGGTAGCTAGCCCCTGCTGAAGGACAACTAGGACTCTTCTCCATTTTCCCTAAGAAAATGCGATATTGCCAAAGACAAATCAGTGACACCACTGGAAAATAAAAAGTATATTTCCTAAGAGAAAAGAAAAAAACCAAACTCAACCCTCCTCTCTGCAGGCCTCTGCACACGTAATTGTGGCTTCATCCCCAGCAAATATGACAGCAGCCTGAACTCTAGCTAAACTTCTCTGCCATCCACATACCTCAAAACCTGACACTGATAACCTCCTCTGCTCCTGCTTAGGACAGCTTATAAGGCGAATTGGTTTGTGCACATGGTTCTGCCTACTCTCAATCAGCTCAGTTTAACTCTGATTTAACTCCATGTGAGCTAGAATCTTCTTGACTGAAGGAACAGGAATTCATGCTGACAGCCAGTGCTGCCAAAGCAGCAAATCTCTGCTTTTGTAATGCTGGTTAGACTTGAGCCGGAACTGCATTATCTCCGTCATACAACATCTTTGCACTGTACCTAGAAAAGATAATGAATGAATCATGCAGATCCCTACAGTTCCTTAAGGACACTGGCAACAACTCCGTGGCTATCCTTCCAGATGCTTGAATAGACTGAACAAAAGCTGCCACCCAGTGCTGGGCAGCTTCTGATAGAAGCAATTGGGGTTCCAAAAAACAGTGGCAGACAACAACCCTGCTTCTCAATTCTTCTGCTGATAAAAAACAGCACTATATACACCACAATGCTGAACTTTAACACCTCATCAGAAAAAGGAAAAAGATCTCTTGTCTCAGTATGTTTTCTCTTTTTTTTTTTTTTTTTTTTTTCTTCCCCCAAAGAAAATTTAGTGCCAGAAAAAGACCTTGAGGTCCCAACTGTTGGGAGAGAGTTGACACATTCAATTTTCCATGACACATTCAATTCACAGGCCCCCACTCAGTCTGCCAAAGGCACCAATTAGCACCAGAGGTGGAGATTTTTTTATTTTTATTTTTTAACAGGAACCTGCTTAACAAGACAAAGACAGGAATAAACAGCCTTGCTCATGGCTGAAAACAGTTTTGCTTGAGTCACTGTCAAAGATGGCAGCAACAGATTGCATGGCAATGGTGCAGCCCTAGCTTCACTAACACAACTGTTCAGAAATCAGGCACGGAAAAAAGAAAGCAAGTGGCAAGGACTCTCACAACACCACATCCACATGTGTAATTATTTGTTGATAGAAAAACTGGGTTTCTGGAAGAAATTTGTGCACGTTGTGGAATGGTGACATACTGCAGAGCTTTCACCAGTAAACTTCAATCCCATGCAGCTCTACAGGCTTGGGGCAGAGTGGTTGGAAAGCTGCATGGAGAAAAAGGATCTTGGGGTATTACTCAGCAGCTGGCTGAACATGAGCCAGCAGTGTGCTCAGGTGGTCAAAAAGGCCAGTGGCATTCTGGCTTGTATCAGATATAGTGCAGCCAGCATGAGCAGAGAGGTGATCGTCCCTCTGTACTCAGTGCTGGTGAGGCTACACCTTGAGTACTGTGCTCCGTTTTGGACCCCTCACTACAAGAAATTGTAGTGCACCGAGGCTCTGGAACGTGTCCAGAGAAGGGCAATGAAGCTGTGAAGGGTCTGGAGCACAAATCTTCTGGGGAGTGACTGAGGGAACTGGGATTGTTCAGTCTGGAGGAGGATCAGGGGAGACTTTATTGCTCTCTACAACTCCCAGAAAGGAGGCTGTGGTGAAATGGGGGGGTCAGCCTCTTCTCCCAGGTAACAGCAATAGGATGAGAGGTGTTAGGTTGTACCAGAGTTGGGATTCAGGTTGGATACTAGGAAAAACTTCTTCTCAGAAAGAGTGGTGAGGCATTGGCACAGGCTGCCCAGGGCGGTGGTGAAGTCACAGTCCATGGAGGTTTTAAAAAATAAAGGTAGATATGGTAGCTAGGGACATGGTTTAGTGAGCAATACTGGTGACAGTTGAAATGGCTGGACTAAATGAACTTAGAGGTCTTTTCCAGCCTTAATGATTCTGTGGTTTCATGATTCAGAATATGACATTCTGCTGATGAGTAAGGTGATTTC